ATTAAAATTAAGCCTCCTAATTTTTTAAAATGTTTCGATATTGGCAACTGAAAAATGTTATACTTATACTTCTTTATGTGCATTAAACAATAACAAGTAAAGAAAATTATAAATAATAAAATTTAATCAATGGGAGGTTAATTCCAATTAAATTATAATGAAATCTTCATTTTTCAGTTTATATTATTTTGAAATAAGTTGTCCGTCATTAAACTATTTTGCAAGAAACTATATTAGGAATGTATTATGCACATACCAATCTGTTAATGATTTGCAGTTAAGAAGATAATGTTCAGATAATAATGATTTGTTTTGAGATAGGCAATTATAAATAATTAGCAATTGATCATAACTATATTTATAACACTAGAAGAGAACATATAATTTAATTTTTTTATTAGTCAATCCAGCAAAAGTCCTTTTTCACAACCCAAATAAAATATTCGTAGTTTATTGCCATGTTAGAAAACAGAACTTCTTTATAATATAATTTACAAAAGAGAAAATAGAAAATTCAGGAAGAAGCCACGTTTACATGTAACTTCATCAAATATAATCTGAACTAATGTAAGAAAGAGAGAAAATATAATGTACAATTAGATTTTCTATTATTGAGGTGTCTGTCTAGGTTTTCTTATGGATTGACAAATATTTGGGTACTCGTTACATTAATGTCTGTGATCGATTTACTTGTTTCTGTACAAGTTTCACTTTTAATGTTATATAATTGAGCTAGATAAACTAGAAATGAAAGAAGTTGCATTGAGCTTAAATTTATTACTTATTTTCCAATAATGATTTTTATAGGAAGACCTTTTTAAATTTTTATGTGAATTTGTGAAATTGAAAGTTTGTTGAATTATAAAAACGAAATTTATTCAAATAATTCTGTTGAAGGTATTTAATTGTATTTGGTAAATCTTGTATTGTGAAATGAAAAAAGTGTAAGTTTTATAAATAAGATGAGATATAGTTTAATTAGTAAAATGTTGATAAATTTTCTATGCAGTAATAAGATTAACTTGTCCTTTACCTGGTAGCTTTCTAGTAACATTCATCCTTTTTTTTAAAAAACAATTTTTAAATCATATATTATAAACTAATGATCACAAACTGGTGGTCCATAGAGAAATTTGGTCGCAACTCATGGTCGCAAAAGAAATGCACAACTCTTGGTTGCTTTTTCTCACTCACTGGGGGTTTAATATTTGAATCTTAAACCAAACACACAATGACTGTTATCAATAAATAATATTGTCAATAAATCAATAAATAATGTTGTGAGTGCTATTGTTGTCTTATGTGAAAAAGAGCCAAGAATCCATAAACTTATTTCAAACAAGCAGCAGCAAACTTCACATAATTTCTTATAATTTGGCAAGTGAATTTCATATTATTAAAGTAAAATGGGATTTTTATGATCATTTTATAGATGTTTGATTTGTATCGGTGCCGTTAAAAAAATTTGTTAGTAGTCCAAGGGATTCAAAATTGTGAGTTTAGTGGTTTGTGAGGTCAGAAAGGTTGGCGACTGCTGCTATAAACAAAATTATAAACATTTTTAGCTTTAATTTGTTATTCATTTATATAACATAAGGATATAAATCATGTCAAATCTTATTATGTTATTGACACATGACACACCGACAAGTTTGACAGAATGCGTGTGACCATGTGTCCTTCCAGTTTTCAATGCACATAGTTTGTACTAGATTATCTATATTTAATAAAATAGTTATTTCTTTTGCATTGTCTGTAACTTTATGGATTAAAATGAACAAAATTCTTATTAGGTCAGATATGTCTCCACACTTCCGTTTTATCTTCACTACGATTTCTTTCATTTTAATATATCTGTATATATTACAAGCACTATCTCTGCTTTGAAGAAGTACTTTAGACTGGGACAGTGATGGTGAACCTTTTTGAGTCCGCATGCCATATAGTAAGCATACTTATTGTTTGAGCACCAAAGTTTTAGACTTTGAATAATGAATGATACTCAAAGAAATGAAATGAATATGATTTAATTAGAAAAACTGTAAAGAAGCTGATAGAAAAAGGATGATCAGGTGATAAACCAAAAGGATCATTGAAAAAGACAGGTGTTAAATTGAAATCGTATATATTTTTTGCCAGATGATTTCTCTGATGTGCCACTTTGGGCACACAAGTCGTAGGTTTGCCACCCCTGGACTACGATCTAACTTTGACTTTCCTATTGCTTCTAAAGAATGTGTTCGCTGGCTATAGATATTGAAAACTTCATTGAAATTTCAGAAAATATCAGTGAAATGGATAAACTAAAAGTATTGACTAACTTTTTGTTACATACTGCCTTCAAATACATATTAGAATGCTCTACATTTATTGATGCCATAGGCACTCAATCAGAACCAAAATGAAGTATTTGCTTGGCATTAACTAGCCACTAGGAAATAAAAGGTGGGTGAGTTTATCTCTTAATATTTGAACTGTCTTAAGATACAGAGTAAAGCAGGGGTGGCCAAACCGTGGCGCATGCGCCAAACTTGGCGCATTGGACGATTACAAGTGGCGCTTTAGTCAGTTCTGAGCAACATTGCCAGATTTGGCTTCTTTGCAATTAAGAATATTACATAGAAAATTAATTTTTTATAGTCTGTCTTGGCAAGTTCATTTGTTGCACAATTCGTTGCAATCAACTTTACAGATAAAATGAGTGTTCTCCACATAGTAAATTACAGTGTATGCATGTATGTTTATTTTCGATCAGTGCATAGGCGTCTAAATGACAGTGCTACCGTCCGGACAGTCCACGAGTCGGTTGGACTGCTACACCTGTTGACCTTTTTTTTTTTTTTTTTTTTCTTCTACGATTCACGATACATTCGCAATCGTGTATGCCACTAATGTCAAATGGGACTATTTTGTACGGGTAACTACACCACCACCGCATTTTTTATTAATTTTTTTTTTCACACAACTGAATTTTGATCTTTTAAATTGAAATACCTGATTAAAGGGTGGCCGAAATTTTTCTCCGCCCCGGGCGGCTAACACCCACGGTACGCCACTGCGCATCTGAACTCGTCTATCAAAAAATTGGCGCATGGTATGCAAAAGGTTGGCCACCCCTGGAGTAAAGGATGTAATTTTCATTGCTGCCCAGCACAGAGTTGAGTATATACATGTTTCCTTTATCAATGGTCTCCAGTCTGTTAATATCAGATGGCATTTATTGGAAGATTCTTCACTAGCCGTTGATGAAGGCTGAACAATATTTGCAACCTATAGTAGCAATTATGCTATAGCCAGCACCATTATGACAAATCAGGAAGTTACTTGAGACAAAGTGAATATTTTTTTATTTTTATCCCATGTGGACCAGTTGAATTTTCTTGAAGAGGCTTAAACCATTGTTTGATTTACTTGTTCTAGAGAATGCAACTGCCTTAAAACAAGCTTTGGGTTCTTTTCTCATTATATAAAAGGGATACTTTATTTTTCAGACAAAATTCAAACTGCAGTGGGCTGTAACTTATTTCTGTTGAGCTTGGGCTAGACAAAGTTTTGATACATAATTAGACATTTTCAGATGTGGTTTTTAGCAGGCTCTGAGTCAAGATGGTTGGTCTGTGGCATTTTATTCACTCTCTTTCAAAAGATGAAAAAGCACACACTGCAATAGAGAAGAAAGCAGCTGCAATTCTAGAATCATTGAGGAAATGAAAAATTTACCTTTTAGGATGACCCTTTAAACTAATTATTGACCAGAAAGCTTCCCTTTATTATTAACAAATGGCTCTCTAGCAAAATCTAGAATGATAAAATAATGAGATGATGCCCTGAGCTGAGCTGGTACCTTATAGTTTTGATATCTATCACAATGGGTAAGAAAACACAATGGCTGACACCCTCTCAAGAATTTGTAGTGCTACAAGTGACAACAAGTAATATGTATTCACTAATTACTCTGCCACCGTGAAGTTATTGTATCCACCAAGAATATACTCTTTCTTTGGATGAGGTACAGTTAGAGGATTTGATCCCGGGATCTCGAAAATCAGGATCCCGGGATCCCGACCACTTTTCAGTCCCAAAATTTTCGGGATTAAGTTTTCCTAATCCCGGGATTTTCGGGATTGACATCATTTTAAAAAAATTGCAAAATAGACTGCATGAAGCGAAACGTTCAGTGCCAGTGCTTTTAACAGAATTGCTTGCCTATCATTTTAATATAAAATACAAGAAATTTTATTCCAAGCAAGCAGCAGAAANTTCGTATATAATCAAGGTATAGTTTTTTTTAAGTGTGAATATAGATTATAACAGCTTAAATTTTGATACGACTGAAACAAAACAGCTTTTCTCCTAATATTTAGTTAAAGCGTGTTACTTCGTCTTACCGATTACGAGTTCACCCGATGTATTTTGCTAGAGGCGCTACGGAGGGTCTCAGCCAGCCAATGTATTTCTGCAGCTAGACGCGTGTTATAGGGGAAGGAATTGTGGACAAACGGCAGCAGGATAAGAGACCGAGTATGACAAGAGTTTGGGAACGACAGCCTCGTCGCCTTGACGGGCCTAGATTTCCACATAAAGTGAATAGAAAAATTTTAAAAACAGAAATAACGTATCTAAAAAAGCACAGACTAGTATCTTCGCTTTCCTTCTTATTGCGCGGTGATCGAGATTACGGTAAGGTTTGTGTCAAAACGACGATTATTTCCATAAAACATTTTAACTTTTCCTTTTCAACCGCTAAAGAAAAAGATGTATATTGTTTTTTTCTCAAATACCATCGCGACGCATTTCCGGTCTCTTTCGACGAGAGAGCGCCTCGCTTCCAAGAAGCTATCCGCCGGAGGCTTTCTCTAACCGTTATTTCTATTACTTATAAACGAAATATTTAATATAACGGCATAACAAATAATAATATCAGAATATTCCGAAATAATTCTTTAAAAATTAATTTATTTTTATTTTTATTTTTTTCCCTTTATAGTACACGAAAACGTTTTCAAATTTCAGAGGTCGCCATGGTGGTAGAGTAATCTTCTGGTTTGTCTGGGTTTATACTCGAATATTTCCGATTTACGTCCGAAAGGAGGAAATAGGGAGTGGATATTATTTTGCGGACGATTTTTTTAAGTTGTGATGCTTATTTCGGTAGAGTTTACGAATCGTTCAGATGGATGATATTGTCAAAACAACGTCCGACGCCAGAAGTATCGTCTTACCTCAGCAGGATTCGGTTTTCAGGAACCTGCAGAATGCCAAAAGATTTGCCATCGACATCGGTGAGTTCGAATGCGCGTAAAATTAGAAATATAAAGCTCGTGATCGATACACTCTTCGCGACATTTTAAATATATTGTCGTAATGATATTTCGACGGAGGATGTAAACGTTTCCCGAGTCTGTCTGATAAAAATCAAGGTTGTATGCAAAATACTAGGACGAGGTAAATAGTTCACTCAGTCGTTTTTGATGCGTGCTCGAAATACGGCGACCGTTTACTCCGGTCTGTCTGTAATTAAGTTTTCTAATTTGCTTGTAAGCAAATAAGCCAAACGATTGTTGTTTTATTGAGTATTTGTTCAAATCTGAGACGTAGTACAAATGCAGCGCTAAGTGAGACAGTTGTGGTAATCTGGATGACAGTTTTTGCCACTCTCCGGAATTGTAGACTCCTCGTAATGGTTGAAGGCAAAATACGGAGGGATTAGCGTTAAAAGTACTCTGACGGCCGGGCAAAATAGAGGGAATTTGTTCGTATTTTTTGCTCTAATGAATGTGGAATAAAGTTTTGATTTACACTTTCCTTTCGGGCACAGAATACAATTTTAAATATGAGAAAACTATTTTGCCATTTGCTCGTTAGACGACGGGTACTGTCGAATTAAAATATCGTTACGATGGACATCTGCGTGTTTTCTGAGCAAAGGAGGTCTTGCGTTTGCTTATAACGGGTTGCCACCTAACCGACAAATATGATAATGATTATCAAAAAATTAGTAGTTTTGTCGGATTTAAATCTAAGTAGTTATGATTTAACTATTAACTGTGCTATTGGTTGAAAAGTGTTGACTGTCTGTACTAAATACGGTCCTGTGGTAACCCTACTTGTACTAACAAAAACATCGGTGCGGTCGTATCCGTAAGTGTGTTTCTCGGTTTCCGAAGGTCACTTTTTACCGTTATCGGTATTACTATCTATTCTCCGTGCACCGGGTTGGTACGGGCTTGCCGTTCCTCGCTTTGACTCGTGTGCTGCACTCAGTTGTGTGCTTTGGTGCTGGCTGTTGCACCTCGACCCCAATCTCCCCTAAACTATATAATGAGAAATCTGTGAATGGTTGAGTTGGCTACTCCGAGCTGGCAACTGTGCCGGCTTGGTGTAGCCCGCTTCCAATTGTGTGTGATCCAGAAGAGGGCTGTATATGGCTGTTGGTCATATGTACAGGTGTTCTTCCTTTGCTCCTGTGGGTGTGGTTTATGGCTTGAGACAAATTTATATCAACAGAATCAGTTTTGTTCACATAAATGTGGTCACTGTAAATTAAGTTATGTATCAGTGTCTTCTGTACTATCAGAAACCTTTTGCTTTGTGTTAGACATTATGAATCAATACTGGATTCGATGCTTGCATCTTCTCGTGTGTAATTGTCCTCTGTGCCGTTTGAAGCCTTGAAAATGCAACATTTCTAGGGAAATGCCACATGACTTATGGAATTTTTTTTTGACTACTTATCACATTACTGTAATAGAGTAACAAGATTGAGCTAAGTTGATGTCTTAACTATTTACTATTAAGAACACTGGTTTAATAAAATTATTACAATGATGCAATGGAATTAATGACAGGAAAATAAGCCACACTACATAAGGATACTTTATCACAGTTGATGGAGTAGATGGTAGAGTTGTATTTATAGACAAGTAATTTCCATGGCTTTCACTATTTGCTTAATTAAAGGTATCCTTAAGATATTTATAAGTTACAACCTTGTAAGAATATGCGTTCCTGAGTGGTATAATCTTAGAATAGATATACTTTTTAATTAATTCCTTCATAATTTCCAGTGCATATTCAGGCTGAATGGCTTGGTGGCAGATGCTACTCACAAGAAAGGCATTCTCCAGTATATTGCACTAGATGTTTCTAACTATGGCATGTTACACTGAATCTAAGACCCCATTAAATCTAAGATGAACTTTATTTTCAGAGAAATGTAAGACCAATTTTTACAGGTTTTAATTTCATTAAATATAGTAATTAATATATTGACAGATTCTCTTTTATTAATGTATCTCTGATTGGTGGATTTTGTTGTTTTACTTGAATCTGGCTTATACATAAGAAAATAAGTCTGTCACCTGGAGTTGTGTTGAAGGAAGAAATCTGTTTTGGTTCTGGAAGAGAATATAACAAATGAAACTAATTGTATGCATTTGGTGGCATCAAACTAATGGATGTGAAGTTGATAGTTTGGAAGTGTTGATTGATTTTGTCGATGCAAGTGGTGATACATGATGACTCATATGCTGGCCCCCGTATGTATGATATTAACAAGCCAAATGCAATGGAGTGTTAGTAGAATTTCCTTTTTATGTAATGAATGCATAAAACTTTCTTTCGTTCAAATGATCAATCGGGTTTCAAAATATTCTAATTTTCAGCAACATGATTGATCATTTGAGAAAATATTACTGATTTATATACAAAATGTATAGAAGTCTATCTTTTATAAAACTGGAACAATATTTCTTAAAAATGATTGATTTTCTTATTGATTGATTTTTCTCAGTATAGATTTTTGGTAAGTTAACATGACATTTCTAACAAAGAAAGGTTAATGCATAAAAATCTGTTTTGTATATTTAATGGACTGGAAAAGAATGTTACTTTAAAATTGTTCATAAAAATAAACTATTAAAATTAAGCCTCCTAATTTTTTAAAATGTTTCGATATTGGCAACTGAAAAATGTTATACTTATACTTCTTTATGTGCATTAAACAATAACAAGTAAAGAAAATTATAAATAATAAAATTTAATCAATGGGAGGTTAATTCCAATTAAATTATAATGAAATCTTCATTTTTCAGTTTATATTATTTTGAAATAAGTTGTCCGTCATTAAACTATTTTGCAAGAAACTATATTAGGAATGTATTATGCACATACCAATCTGTTAATGATTTGCAGTTAAGAAGATAATGTTCAGATAATAATGATTTGTTTTGAGATAGGCAATTATAAATAATTAGCAATTGATCATAACTATATTTATAACACTAGAAGAGAACATATAATTTAATTTTTTTATTAGTCAATCCAGCAAAAGTCCTTTTTCACAACCCAAATAAAATATTCGTAGTTTATTGCCATGTTAGAAAACAGAACTTCTTTATAATATAATTTACAAAAGAGAAAATAGAAAATTCAGGAAGAAGCCACGTTTACATGTAACTTCATCAAATATAATCTGAACTAATGTAAGAAAGAGAGAAAATATAATGTACAATTAGATTTTCTATTATTGAGGTGTCTGTCTAGGTTTTCTTATGGATTGACAAATATTTGGGTACTCGTTACATTAATGTCTGTGATCGATTTACTTGTTTCTGTACAAGTTTCACTTTTAATGTTATATAATTGAGCTAGATAAACTAGAAATGAAAGAAGTTGCATTGAGCTTAAATTTATTACTTATTTTCCAATAATGATTTTTATAGGAAGACCTTTTTAAATTTTTATGTGAATTTGTGAAATTGAAAGTTTGTTGAATTATAAAAACGAAATTTATTCAAATAATTCTGTTGAAGGTATTTAATTGTATTTGGTAAATCTTGTATTGTGAAATGAAAAAAGTGTAAGTTTTATAAATAAGATGAGATATAGTTTAATTAGTAAAATGTTGATAAATTTTCTATGCAGTAATAAGATTAACTTGACCTTTACCTGGTAGCTTTCTAGTAACATTCATCCTTTTTTTTAAAAAACAATTTTTAAATCATATATTATAAACTAATGATCACAAACTGGTGGTCCATAGAGAAATTTGGTCGCAACTCATGGTCGCAAAAGAAATGCACAACTCTTGGTTGCTTTTTCTCACTCACTGGGGGTTTAATATTTGAATCTTAAACCAAACACACAATGACTGTTATCAATAAATAATATTGTCAATAAATCAATAAATAATGTTGTGAGTGCTATTGTTGTCTTATGTGAAAAAGAGCCAAGAATCCATAAACTTATTTCAAACAAGCAGCAGCAAACTTCACATAATTTCTTATAATTTGGCAAGTGAATTTCATATTATTAAAGTAAAATGGGATTTTTATGATCATTTTATAGATGTTTGATTTGTATCGGTGCCGTTAAAAAAATTTGTTAGTAGTCCAAGGGATTCAAAATTGTGAGTTTAGTGGTTTGTGAGGTCAGAAAGGTTGGCGACTGCTGCTATAAACAAAATTATAAACATTTTTAGCTTTAATTTGTTATTCATTTATATAACATAAGGATATAAATCATGTCAAATCTTATTATGTTATTGACACATGACACACCGACAAGTTTGACAGAATGCGTGTGACCATGTGTCCTTCCAGTTTTCAATGCACATAGTTTGTACTAGATTATCTATATTTAATAAAATAGTTATTTCTTTTGCATTGTCTGTAACTTTATGGATTAAAATGAACAAAATTCTTATTAGGTCAGATATGTCTCCACACTTCCGTTTTATCTTCACTACGATTTCTTTCATTTTAATATATCTGTATATATTACAAGCACTATCTCTGCTTTGAAGAAGTACTTTAGACTGGGACAGTGATGGTGAACCTTTTTGAGTCCGCATGCCATATAGTAAGCATACTTATTGTTTGAGCACCAAAGTTTTAGACTTTGAATAATGAATGATACTCAAAGAAATGAAATGAATATGATTTAATTAGAAAAACTGTAAAGAAGCTGATAGAAAAAGGATGATCAGGTGATAAACCAAAAGGATCATTGAAAAAGACAGGTGTTAAATTGAAATCGTATATATTTTTTGCCAGATGATTTCTCTGATGTGCCACTTTGGGCACACAAGTCGTAGGTTTGCCACCCCTGGACTACGATCTAACTTTGACTTTCCTATTGCTTCTAAAGAATGTGTTCGCTGGCTATAGATATTGAAAACTTCATTGAAATTTCAGAAAATATCAGTGAAATGGATAAACTAAAAGTATTGACTAACTTTTTGTTACATACTGCCTTCAAATACATATTAGAATGCTCTACA